TCAAAAAAGTACTCCAGAGTGTTGTTCAGCATGGGGGTGAGTAGAAAATGAAGGCTAATCATGTTTTGGGTGTACTATTCCTTTAAGGTGTGTTTTTCCACCAGGAACTGAACACATACAAACCACGTTACATTTGACCTTACATTTTTATATATATATTGACCTTACATTTTTATAAATCTATACCCTGTGTAGATTTCACATTTATTTTATAAGTCAGTCACTATCCATATATTTTAGAAACCTAAATGGTTAGATGATTTAGATGCAGTAGGGTTACTGTAAAGATTACTCATAGAAAGCAATGAATCAAATTTAATCCTACTGAATATTATACGATACTACTGTGATGCTTGGAAACTATCTGCTCTACATCTCATGACAGGAACTCTGAAATTGCTCCTTCCGATAAATGACACTAAGTTCATCAGTTTATCGTGGATGCACACAGCATGCGTTTGTCTTAACGCTACGAGTAAAGTCTTGCCCTGAAGTCTCACATTGCCAGAAGGGATTGGAAGCCAGTTTGACTACCGCTGACCTGCATGCTCCTTTACAATGAAAGATCAGCTATCAGGCCTGTTGCTGCTTTGTGCCCTGCTGTTTGAGGGTGGTATAAGGGATTCCTCTTTAAGTGCAAAGGGGTTCACCAAGCAGTTGGGGGTAAACTGGGGCAGATGGAGGAGGAGGTGAAGACTTTCAGACATCTTTGATGCTGCATAACTAAAGACTGGTTGTCAATAGTAGACGCCTTTCTCAAAAATCACTCTCAGACCCTATAAGAGAATTATATCTTCAGGTAGTTTTGTTTCAAACACTACAGTAAGCAGCTTTTTCTAATCAGACCTGAAACAGGCTACTGGCAGGCTTAGTGGTTAACACTGACAGCCATGTCATACAACACAATTTACAGTATTGCACAAGTCAATACAGACTCCTTCATGCAGGCCCATTTTTCTGAAGCTGAGGACACAAACAAAACATTACATAATTGTTCCAAAAAAATACAAATTCACCAGAAAACCACAGGAAGCCAAACAATAGATTCTACATCTTATTTATGAGGAAGTTATGTAATACGGTTTGCTGTTAACAACAAGCAGAGGAGCTTATTCAACCACGAGTTAACTGAGGTAGCTGATGAAAAACTGAAACCACAGAAAAATCATAGTTCATATTGGGGGAGGAGTTGAAGCTGCAGAAAGTTGGGAAAATAGGAATTGAAATAGAGAGGGGAGTGAGAGAGAAGGAGGGGGGCGTGGAGAAGGGGCTGGAGACTTACTATAAGAAATACACTTCTGGGGTCTGTCCAACACAAATTAGATCATGGTGTAAAACATTCACAGAGACTCAAACACAAGAAAGGCGTGGTCCTTCTGCTCTGAAAGCATGCAAAAGAAGAATGGTGAGAAGCTGCTTCTAGATTGGTAAGTACTGTTTGCACATGCATGTTTTTTGAGGGCGGAGTCCAACGTAACAGGATCTTGACATGAAGGGAAATCCAGGCTCACAGCAACTCTCTAATGAGAAGTAGACCCTGATCAGAGTCAGATGGGGTGCCTCAAGCACACAGCCCCCCCCCCCCCCCCGACAGAAAGAGCCGCCTGGCACCCTTTGTTACCTCCAAGTGAGCTGAGACCAGCCCATGAACCATGTAACTTGGTGGTTTCCAGGTTAATGAAAAGCTGTAACTCTGGTCCCACTGTCCCCGACGAAGGCCTTTCACGTACCGCGCCACCCCTCTGTCTTCACCAACACATTCCCACCTCCATCTATGAACACGGTAACAGGGTCAAGGCTAATTAACTGTTTACTTTGTGTGAGCTATGCTACATTTACATTTTGGCATGATTATGGTCAAGATGTGCTTAATATTTTGAAGGTCTGATTTCACCTTCATATTCAAAATGCAGACACGATAGTTATACACAATAATAAGTGAAAAAGATGTAAACTCAATTTGGAAAAGCTGTGCCACAGCAGACACTTCTAGGCGCATTGCTCTATGGTTTTGATGATGCTGTTTGTGCATGTATGTTTTCTAACAAACCTCTAAGGCCTTTAGAAAAGCTGGTGTTTTTCTGACATAAAGGTTCAGACCTGATTTTATTCAGGGGTTTCAGAGTAAAGGAGGTTAAATACAAATATAAACAGCACATTTCAGATTTAGATAAACATTTAAATAATTTTTACATTAAATCCTATTAAAAACATCAGAGAATTTGGCTGTAATGAGGCAAAATGTGAAATTATTACTTTTGTTTAATTTCCAGCGACAGACACTTTGTGATACTAGATTTGTGACATACTAAAATGATCCATTGACAAGATTTTGATTTTTTTTCACATTTTTAAGGTTTCAACAGATGTTTTTCATATGTCTGCACATAAAGAAAATCCCTTTTTATTAAAATTGCAGAACAGCTCTGTGTCTGTTTCTGTCTCCATTGCTTACAGTATGTCAGCAGTTTAACAACGGTCATTGGTCAGCTCCATCTGACCTGCAGGGTTCAAAGCAAACATGCTGGTTAAAGCTGTTAAATGAAGAAAGTTGGAAGCTCTGCACGATGCATGATGAGCATCTAGAAAGAGATCATACTTTGGCTCAACTAAGGAGTTGAAAGAAAAGACAAAGAAACTGTGTTTCTTTAAGCTGCTGATTACACTCTAAAAGCACAGATTTTTTTATCTGCAACTTTACACAAATATTTAAAGAAATACTCAGTATGGTTGTTTACCACTGGGCCTGAGCATCTTAGCAAATGCTCTCTTAGGAGAACTTAAATCCACATCTTTTATTTCCAATTCCACTTTAAAATATTTAGCATTTACAAAATGCTAAATATTTGTGTTTTTTAATCAAGAAATAAAAGAAATAGTTGATTTATTGTATTTATTATGCTAGAGGAGTCCCTTCATTCCAATAATTAATTCTTTAAAGGACAGATTATTTTCTAATTTATATTTATAAAATGTATCAATTGATTATTAAAAGTTAGAAGCAGCAATGAGCACAAGCATCAAATCTAAAAAAAATGGCAATTGATTTATAGTATGAGATCTGTTTGGCACAATACAGATTATCCACACATCAATTTAGTAATTTCACAGAATTTGCTCTTACACATCTATCAGAAATTTTCTCCAACTATATTTCAACAAAAACAGAGTTTTTAAATTCAACCGATTGAACAAGGAAGTCCCTGAGATGTAAGAAATACAGTACGTACTTGTTTGGAAGATGGGATATGGCTTTACTGATCATCGAGTGCACCAGAGAAGTAAAAAGAAAACACGAAAAGAAAAAAATAAATTTAATTTAATGCAATGTTTAGGGGAGAAGCTCCAAAAATATCTACAAAGTGTTTTTTCTGTCATTGTGTTCCTCATCATGAGTGTTACTTAAAAATAGATCAAAATGTGGTTCAGTTTTCCCAAATGGCAATCTTTGTTCTGTTTTTAATTTAAAACAGAAGGATTTTAGCTATTTGTTTCCAACCTTTGCTAATTCCTTTCATACATAAATAGGACAGATAAAGCCTGGTGTGAATACAATCAGGTACCTTTATTGCCTAGATTACCTTTCCAAAAAAGGAAAAGGGGTAACAAACCTCCAAAAACCTTTGATTTTTTTTTTGGTTGTGGAAAAAAAGAGGTAAATTCACTCCAGTTGCTGTTCAATTTGGACTGGTGGACATTAAAGCAGGAGCCAGTCCCTAATAAGAGCCATGCCTGAGAAAGAAACACACACAAAGCTGGGGAGAGAAACCCAGCCGAGGTGTGTCTGAGTCTCGGCTCCAAGGTTCCTGCTAATAGATTTCAGCTCCCCAAGTGTCCCAATTAGCCAGTATTTATCCGCGCTTTATAAATTCATCTCTAGATGTTGGGAGTGTGAACATGAACATATTTTCACATGACTTCCTTTGGCTTCCATTTCATAAAATACAGTAGAATGCTTCCTGTTGATTAGCCAGACATATTTATTTCTATGCTATTCACAACTTTAGACGAGTTATTGGGTCTCCTGCATGCATATATGGAAACAATTAAACTAATTTTTAAAAAAGGAACCGATTCACTAAGACCTAACCTAGAATAACAAAAGTCTCATCAGAGACACAAACAGAAAAACAAAGATATAGCGTTTCAGTTTTAAGGCATCTTTTATCACTTCTAAGGGAAGATCATTACAAAGAAAATAGCAAGCGCACTTTTAACCCTGACCTCATGTGTGGACGGACAGCCAGAGCTCAAGACTTACCTGTAATAAAGCCAGCAGTTTCCACACGTGACCATAAATCACAGTGTGTGCCTTCAAAGTATCAAATATCGACCAATACAGCACTACTCACCCTTGGCTTTTATCCCTGCGTCTAGCTCTCTGTGCTCTAACAGTGGCGCGGCCTTCAAAGTGAAAGCGTCTCAGTTTTTTAAAAGGCACGCCAAGCAATTCATTTACGAAGAAACTGCTGCCGTAAATGACAAAAAGGGGGGGTGGGGGTAGGTGGTTTGTGAAGGCAGAGGTCTTGGCTGGTCTTGTGGAAGACTATAAAGCTTTAGTAGTGGCCCACGATCTGTTTATGACTGACTGAGACACTGTGGTGTTAGGCTCCTAACACCACAGAGAAAAGGAGCCCAACTCGGGCCGATGCGGTTCTTGAGATGGTAACGGAAAGGCAGCCGATGAAATCATAAGGTGCTTTAATTCGGATGTGACTGGTATAGCGGGATTTGAAAAAAACAAAAAAATTATTTTTATTTTTTGATTACATAGGAGACATTATTTTAAGCAGCGCACTTGGACATTTTTGTGAGGTATGAACTGTGAAATGGAGCATTTCATTTGCAAGAAAATGGGAGTAGGTTACAACATTGGCACCTACTGTTGTGGGGAATGAGTCCAGAATCGAGGGGCCTACTAATCTTAAGATTTAAAACCCTGTATACTCCTAGCAGCGGAAACCCTCATCAGAAGAATTTCTGAGGCAGACGTCAGCTAAATTAGCTTTTTTCTTTAATCTTAAGGAAACAATAAAGCAGAGTATGATTTTAATGTTCATGGCTTACCTTGTCTTAACAACATCAAGTGGATGCATCAAACAAATCTCTACCAGACCTGATGAAGAAAAAAAAGAGATGATTAGCTTTCAGTTTTCAAATCATCTCATTTAGAACACTGCTTTAGGGCTTGAAAGCTTCCTCACAATCACAACATATGTCTTGTCAGTGTGTAATCCTAAGATAAGAAATCCAACCAGGGTTATTCAGAACAGACAGGCAGTAGATAGCTATCTGTTAATTTCTTCTGTTTCAAGACTTTTACAGACTTTATTTGACAATTGCTTCAAAATGATGTGTCCAATACTTAAAGGAATAGTACACCCAAAACATGATTAGCCTTCATTTTCTACTCACCCCCATGCTGAACAACACTCTGGAGTACTTTTTTGAT